ATACAGTTATAAAAATATAGGTGTAAACTAGGCATGGTGGCAGCTGTATATTACAAGCTATCTAGGAAACTGAAATAGTAGGATCACATGTTTGAGCACAGACTGAGAAACTTAGTGAGATCCTATCTCAAAATAAAATAATAGAGCCAGTCTTGGTAGCACATCCCTGTAATCCCAGTACTCAGGAGGCTAAGATAGTATTGCTGCAAGTGTGAGGCCAGACTGTGAGTTCAAGGCCAGCCTGAAGTATTTAATGAGAACTGTCTCAAAAAAAAGCAATAAAATTTAAAAATAAAAAAATTGAAGACCTGGGATAGTAGTTCACTGGTAGATCTCTTGCCTAGAACATATGAGGCCCTGGGTTTAAACCCCAGTATTAGGAAAAAAGTATATTTAATATGATACTATACAGCATTATTATTACATGTCATATATAGTGATACATGAATATTATATTCAATATTATATTAATATTTAGTTTTAGTATATAATTCACACAACTATGATAATTATATTACAATACCAGTATGATCTTCATGTGTAATATTCATTTATATAAATTTTATATAGATTGCATGTAACATATAATCAGTACACAATAATAATATTCATTTAATATAATTAGATATATAGCTACATATAAATATACAATATGTCACATGAGCTGTTATATAATTCATATATTACATTAATTATGCATTATGTATGATGTATATTTTATATATTATATATAACATGTAGTAATGTATCTATTGAATATTATATCTATGTATAAGTTATGTATAACTATGTCTTAGTTACTTTTCTTATTGCTGAACAAAATTCCCGACTTCCAGAAGTTAAAGGAGGAAAAGTTTATTTCAGCTCACAGTTTGTAGAGATTGCAGTCCATAGTTGGCTGGCTCCAAGGCAGAGTGGCATGGCAGAAGAGAAACAGTCCACGGTGAGGCAGGCAGAAAGTAGCCAAGCAATGAGCCTCCTGGACTTTTATCCCATACAGGCTACAAGTCTATTTGATGGTGCCGCTCACACCCAGGTTGGGCTTTCCCATTATCTACACCCAGAACCGTGCTAAACCAATTAGTGGACTAATACAACTTTAATCCCAATATCACACACCCATGATCCAGCCACCATCCCAAATCCCCACCTATGAGGGTATAAGGCTTTGGGAGGACATCCAATATTAAATATAGTGAAAATATATATCATATAAACTACAGTTTATTTTAATTATTGTGTATAGAACTATCTAAAAATAATGATATATTTCCATTATTATATATAATAATATAATCATCATGTATAATATATAACTGGGCTGGGGATTTATCTCAGTGGTTCTGCTGCCTGCCTCGAAAGCGCAAGTTCCCAAGTTCGATCCCTGGTACCAAAAAAAAAGGATGCAGAGGAAATATATAACTGACATTTATAACTCACAATAGTATTTTAAAAATATAATCCCAATAGTGGTATACTATACAATTATAAATATTATATAAATTGATTATACATGTGATATAATATCCCTTATTATGACATGCTTATATATAACATTTCATTTTATATAACTATATAGTATATATTATTGACTCTATAGAAAAATACATGTTTCTATTTTTCAAAGCATGTTATATTATACATTAAATATTAGATAAATTATATGTATTGTATTACATTGTATCGCAGGTAACCATGCATGTTATATTTACAAAAATACAATTATATATTACATGTGATATTAGAAACTATGTATAATATATACCTCATATGTCATATATGCATAACTGTATATTATATGTAACTGAAGATATAAACAATACATAGCTATGTAATGTACTATATGTAATAACTATATAATTATGCTTATAAAAATATGAAAACTATATAAAATGTTATGATATTCTATATAATCTATAATATATTTTATTAGTGTCTTGATATTATAGATAAGTGCATATTAGAGATATGTAATTTTATATACTAAATTTTCAAAATATATCCTAAATCATATAATTTCCCATAACTAAATATCATGTTATCATATAATTATATAATTGTACATTTGAATGTTATATATTAAATATGAACATGCAATGTAACACATTGAACTATGTACCATATATTTTACATATTATATAACACATATTACATATACTATATATTTAAAATTGCATGTGAAATATATACTTTCTACTGTATATGATGCTTATGTATTAAACATACAACATATATGATTATAAAAGTTCAGTTGGACATGATGCAACATACCTATAAACCTAACACACTGCAAGTGTAAAGTGGAAAGGTCCTGAGTTTGAACACAGCCTGGAAAATTTAGTGAATTATGACCTTGACTCAAAATTTAAAAATATTAAAAGGTGGGCCAGGGATTTAGCTCAGTGGTTTTGCCACCTGCTGTGCAAGTGCAAGGAGCCGAGTTCGATCCCTGGTCCAAAAAAAAAAAAAAGAGTATTAAAAGGGCTAGAGATGTAGCTCACTGCAAAGGCTTTAGCCCAAACCTTGCATACTAACAAAAAATGTATATGTAACTTTATGAAGCATTTTAAATTGTACACTATTATATTATTTTTTATGTTTAGTATATAATAAAATCATCACATATGATATATAATCATAACACATAATTACTATATATTACATATAACATGTATTTGTGTAAAATATCTTTATATGGAGGATTATATGAATGATATAATATTCCATAAAATTTTATTATATATAAGGTATATAATTGTATTTTTAGTAATTAGTTAACATATACATTAAATTTTTTATTTTTGGTACCAGGGATTGAACTCGGGACCTTGCACTTGCAAGGCAGGCAGTAGAACCACTGAGCTAAATCCCCAGCCCTACATTAAACATTAAATATTGAAAAATAACTCATATATTCTAGAGTATGCTTTATTATATATTACCATATTATATAATGCATAAGATATTATATGCAATGATTTGTATTTTCACATATTACTATTGTTATGGCTCATATCTAGATGTCCCCCCAAATCTTCATGCAGTTATATGCATGGCTTTGGGGAGGTAATTGGGTCATAAGGACCCTGTACTCATTGGTAGATTAATCCACTGATGAATTTATAGCTAAATAAGGAGGTGGGACATGGTCAGAATAGGTGAGTCACTAGAGGCATGGCCTGGAAGGGTGTATCTCACTCTCTGGCTCCTGCCTTCATCTCTGCTTCTCAACCACCACCATGAAATGAGCAACTTCTCTTCCACGCACTCTGCCATGCTGTTCTTTGGAGCCAGTTGACCATGGTCTAAAATGTGAGCCAAAATGAGCCTCTCCTGCTTTAAATTGTGGGTGTCAAGTGTTGTGTCCAAGTAACAAAGAAAGTGACTAAGACAACTATATATAAATAATGCATGTTCATATACTTTATATGTGAGTTATAATTATGAATAACTTATATGTACAGTATTATGCAAGTAATCATTATAGGACTAATGTAAATTAATATATAACTATTGTGAATTCTTTCTTTTTTTTTTTTT